CTATACGAAGATTTTATCGTTATCTATTAAACATCCTGTACATATACATACACACATCATATGCGTGCATGCGGTCATGTATATTTATATATATTATACAATAAATTGTCAATATTAATAACTTGCACTTTGTATATATACGGAGTGTCTCAGCATGGCTAAATATTTCATGTGCTGGTAGTGCAGACTAAACTGACTCGAAAAGTTCTGACTCTACTATTTTGCAATTTTCGCAATAGTTAACAAGTTATTAATTAATAAAAATCGCCGAATATTAGTTTTCAATCATTTTTTATTCAAGTATTAACTTTACAGAAAAACAGCAAGAGACTAGAATTGTTTATTTTTTTCTCATGAAGTTCTAAGAATTTTTTCAAAATTTTTTAGTACCGCATTTTCTCATGTTGGTAAAAATAATTATCAATAAGAAAATACATTACTAAAAAATTGATAAAAAATTCTGAAAAATTCTTGAAGTTCTATGAGAATAAAATAAACAACTTTTACGTCTTGTTATTTTTCTGTAAAATTGATAATATTTGATTAAAAATTATTAAAAACCAAGATTCGGCGATTTTTAGTACGGATGCATCGAATATCCGGAAAATATCCGACACTATTTTATTATCCGCCCGAATAGCCGGATATTATTAGTGTCCGGGAATATATCCGGTTGAAATTTAATATCATTAAATCATTGATTTTTTCTTATACAAATGTTTTGAAAATAAGTAGTCCAAGTAGTAAGTGGTCCAACAATGATCCATGTAAATTTCAGAGGCTCGTATTTCTTTCAATTATTGAATTGAAGATCTGAATATTTGTATACAATTTATGAATTTAGTTGACTACATACTGTAAATAATAACTTTTAAGTTACCCCTGAAGTTCAGTCACAATTTCAATTATTTAAAAAAACGGGAAATGGCTCATTGTGTACAAGAGATGTTACACAATGAACCATTTTTAATAATGAACATGTTTTATGCTGCGAATTATTGGGATTATTTTAGTTTTGCTACATTTAAAAAAAAATGTTTATTTATAAAATGGATAATTATAAGATTGTGAAGATTCACAAGATCGATCACCGCGTTTTTCTTTCGTTTTCAAATAAAACACGTCAAATGAGTATATTTTTATTGACATTTTAGGGAGGGCTGTATTCTAAAATTATTATAATGAATAATTATTTTGACGGTATCGTAAAAAAAGTTATTTGGTCTACAATATACAATGGTTCATTGTTCACTACGTCAAAATTCATTGTAGACCATTTTTTCCGATAATCTCCTAAATAATGTGGTAAAATATATAATAAATATATGTAATATAAATATATGTGGTAAAATAATGTAACAGAAAAAATTGTTTACAGAATAATAAAGCCAAATGTGCACATAAAAACAATTGCACAATGAAAAAAAGATATGTACAACAAAAACATAAAAAAATGCGTAAAATTTACGAAAAAAACTTACTTTGCAAAAATTCTTAAAATGTGACATTACATGGCCGTCCTTAGCGCGATCTGCCAGTCGACTGGACGGCCGTGGAGGGGTTCAAATGCTAGTCGCTGCATAGCAGTACAATCTGATAACGTCGCATTTACGAAATATCGCAATGGTTCATAGTACACTACTAATTCATTGTTGGACTATCTATTTTATATTTATGATACTATAATATCTTATATTATTGATCCTGAAAATGTTGAATATCCAACTCGAAGAAATTGCCTTCGGACATTCGATATTACATTCTGTCCGGATATTCGATGTCCGGTATCCGATAATTTTACTATCCGGTGCATAATTTTTAGTAATTAATATCTTGTTAATTATTGGGAAAATTGCAAAATTGTAGAGGACATTTCGATTCTATTTAGTCCACTTTATCAACGCACGAAATATTTGGCGATTATTTGGAACACTCTTATATAAACTAATATCCATATAAACTAATATATATATATATATATATATATATA